AAGTTAGGTAGAACTCTCAATGACATTGGCATAGGGAAAGATAACAGCTTTTTGATAAGACTCAGCATCCGGTATCTGGCAGGCAGATGGAAATAACATTGGTTACCGTCTGGGTTCCTCTCCACCCATCCCAGGAACCATCTCTCTGATAAGAGCTGTCCAATCCAGGAGCAGGACGGATTTAGCTGGAAACATTTCTTGGACCTTGGGCATAAGATCTTGTTACCTCCACATATTATGTGTGGAGTCCTTGAGTGCTTCTCTGTCATCATGTACGCTGCTTTTTGTGTCTCTAACTTTCACATTTCATTTTCTGTCTCTTTGAGCCTGCTCCATACTTTTTCAACTTCTTATGATACACAAGGAGAAGTCAGGTTCTCCTTTCTTTCAGAGCCCACTTCTCATTTGAAATTTTTTTGCCTCTATTCCTTGTTTGTTTGGTTTATTTTTGGAGTTTGCCTTAACAAATCTTTATACACAGTGCAGCAGCCACCGAATTTATATACATCCTCCTTTGTTTTCTCACCAGGTGAATTTTTCTTTCTCTTTTCTGAAAAGTAGCTTTACTGAGAATAATTCACATATCTTACAATCCACCCATTTAAAGAATACAATCCAGTAGTTTTTAGTTGGTTCACAGAGTTGAATACAATCAATTTTAGAATGTTTTCATCAGCCATAAAAAAAGCTCCACAAATCATTAGTAGTCATTCTCTACTTCTCTCTGCCCCCATTCCCAACTTTTTCTTTAAGACCCTGACTCCAGGTGATCACTTGTCTACCTTCTGTCTCTCTATATTTGGATATTTGTTAGTAGTCCATCTACCTAATGCAAATTAAATGTCCTTTGATCAACAAAGGATGACCTCAAATTATATATCTTTTGACCAACATTTTCTCATTTCTTCATATCTCTTACACCCCACCAACCACCCAAGCCCCTGGTAACCACTATCCTACTCTCTTGATCCATGAAACATCAACTTTTTTTGATCCCACATATGAGTGAGACAATGCAGCACTTATTTCTCTGTGGCTGGTTTATTTCACATAACATACTGTTCTGCAGGTTCATTTATATGGTCATAAATCAAGGGATTTTATTTTTATGGCTGGATGATATTCCATAGTGTTTATATACTTCATTTTTTCCAACCACCCTTAATAGACTTAGGTTGGTTTCATATCTTGGCTATTGTGAGTAATACTATTAACATGGGAATGCACATATTTCTTTGACATACTGATTTTATTTCCTGGATATATATCCACCAGTGGGATTGTTGGATCATATGAAAGTCCTATTATTATTTTGAGGAACCTCCATACTATTTTCAATAATGGCTGTACTAATTTACATTCTCACTCACAATATATAGTTATTTCTTTTATTCCATATACTTAACCAGTATTGATTGTCTCTTATCTTTTTGGTGTTAGCTATTCTAACAAGTGTGAAGTGATATCTTAGTATACTTTTGCTGTGCATTTCCCTGATGATTAGCAATGTTGAACACTTTTTCATATACCTGTTGGCTGTTTATATGTCTCCTTTTAGAAATGTCTGTTCAGGTATTTTGTCCATTTATCTGTTTTGAGTCAGGATTTTTCTATATAGTCCAGGGTGGCACTGAACTTGCTGTGTGGCTCAGGATGGCCTTAAATTTGCAATACTCTTGTCTCAGCCTTCCAATTGCTGGCATTACAGACATGTGCCACTATGCCCACCTTTATCCATTTTGAAAAATACAACTGTTTTTTCTTGATATGGAGTTGAGTTCCTTATAAACTTTGAAAATGAATCCCTTGTCTTAATCTGTTTTGTATTGATACAACTGAATTCCACAAACTGAATAATTTATAAAAAGCGGAGATTTATTTTGCTCCTAGTTCAACAGGTTTTGAAATCCAAACACATGGCGCTATCATCTGCTTGGCTTTCTTGTGGCATCAACGTGGAAGAGGACATCACATGGTGATATAAAACCAATGTGGCTTTTTTTTTTCATTTTTCTGATCGAACTCAGGACCTTGTGCTTGCGAGGAAGGTGTGGTACCACTGAGCTAATCCTCGGCCCTTTGATGTGGCTTTTATTTCAAGGCCCTCTCTTGAGATAATTCATTAATCCATTAATGATGGCAGAGCACTCTTGACCTAATCAAGTTTTTTTGTTTTTTTTTTTTGTACTGGGGATCGAACTCAGGTCCTTGCACTTTCAAGGTAGGCAGCAGAACCACTGAGCTAAATCCCCAGCCCGATCTAATGACCTTTTAAGAGTCCCACCTGGCACCACTCACTTCTTAATACTTTTTGAGTTTTGTTTTCCACTTCAGATCTGGATAATTTTGACTCTTCCAATACTGACAGATTTCCTGCTTGTTGGCATATCTAGCATTGTTTACTACATACTGGATGGTATGTTGTAGGGTCTCTGTATTATGTTTTCTTTCTCTGAGTTATGTTCTGGTAGTAAATTGTTAGTGAATCACCCTGATTTTGTGGAAACTTCATTTTAGGCTTTGTCAGAGCCAATTTATCTAAGATTTGCCTAGAGTTCCAGGGCATAACTCTTGTTCTGGGGATAAGGTCCTCATCCCTTTTGTGGATGTTCTGGAGTTCCAGTGGAAACCCACAGTGCTTACCATTCCCCTCTAATAAAAGTGGAATTAAATTCTAAACCTTTTCTGTCAAGAACTAAGCAGAAGCTGAAATCTTTGTTCAGCTCATTTTCTCAGCTCTCATTTTCCACTAGATTCGTTTAGCTCAGGACTCATCCAAAGGTTAAGAGAATGTGGGTGGGGAAATTTTCCTTTTGTGGTTGCCTCCATTCTTGGATTTTCTCCCTCAATTTCTAAATATCCTGGCAATCTAGGACTACTACTTCTGGTTTCTCAAACCAGTAAGATTGCTGACTTCCATGTGAATCCTGTCTAGATGGACCAAGCCAACTGGGCAGAGCCTCCAAAAGAAAGCTGGTTAAGCATGCACTTCGCCTGGGTTTCTTCCCTTTTCTAGTTCTGCCTGCCTTTGTCAAGAGTCCAGTGTATTTAAGAATTTTGTTTTCTATTGTGTCCAGAGTTATATTATCATCAAAAGGATTAGTTGATTGAACAACCTCACCATTAATATTATTAAATTTGTCATATTTTAAAATGAATGATGTATCTAGGGCTCACTTCTTCCAAGAATAGTTACATTATGAAAAATAATCATAAGTAAAAACATTTCTGTAGATTTAATGTATTAAAATCCAAGTGCAAAGATATTTGGGGGCAATCAACAGTGCCCACATAAACAGTAGCCTACTTGTGTATAAACTATATCAACCACCCTTAAAAATGAGCTACATACTACTTTTATCTCTCCACCGCTGAAATTTAATCTTACTGTACTGTCACTAAAAGAATTGGGCAGAAATGGGGAAATATTTTCTTGAATTTTTTTGAATTTTCATAACAAATTTATATTTATTGCAGAGCAATGATTATTCTGGCATTTGAAGATAATATCATCTATATATATTGCATTCATTCCTTTTTCTTTTTGGTGGTTGAAACCAAAGCTGTAAGTATACTAGGCAAGTGCTGTATCACCTAGCTACATCCTCAACCCACCTTCATTTCCTAGAATTGTATTCCAAGACAACTGAGCATCTAACTCACATACATCATCATCTTGTAATCTTGAATCAAATCTTCAATGATATCATTGTTCATCTGGTGTTGCACCAGTGACAAATGGGAAAAGTTCCTCATTCTCCTTGCCCCAATTATTCTGTTTCTATTTTTTATTAAGGATCAGGAGGGCCTTTACAGTGATTCTGTTCTATTGATTACTAGGGTCTCTAAATCCTATTTCCTCACATTTACGTCTTTTTTGTCTAATGCTTTCACACCCTCACAACACTGAACATTGTTTACCATACCCCCTTCACAAGATCACTCTTTCTACCTTGTTATGGTTGAAACTTTTTATATCTTTGATATCCCTTAGTTTTGCCTCTTCTTATAGTTCACCAATTTCTAGACTTTAGTCCGCTTCCTCTATCCTTGTATTCACTAAATGGAAAAAAGAACTAAAGAGCAAATATGCACAAAAAGAAACCAATTCCTTTGAAGCTAGATTTGCTCTCCTGCTATCTGATTTTTTTTTCTTTTTCTTTCTGTTTTTCTTTTTTTGATACTAGGTATCAAACTCAAGACTTTGTGCTTGCCAGGCAGGCAAGATGCCACTAAGCTACATCCATGGCCTGGTATCTGATCTTTAAAGAGCTAAGTATTCTAGGCACAATCCCCAGCATCTTTCCATTCCTTCTCAAGCAGGCAGTGTGAAGGAGTAGTCTGAGAACCTGGCTCCTCTTCTCTGTAGCTCTGCCATTCATCAGCACAAAACTTCAAATTATTCACTTAACTTTTCATCCTTCTGTCTGTAAAATGAGGAAAATATTTGAGGACTTGAAACTGATCACAACCTTTTCTCTGTATCTTACCAGCCATGTTTGAAATCATAGAGAAACAAATTCCAGGCCAGCAGGGGTAAATGGCCATACCAGAAGTTACCTCCGGGGGGGTTGGAACCAGGCTGCATGGATCGCAGCTGTCATGTGCCAAAATTTAGGCACTGAGACTTAGAGTGTAACAGGCCAGACATGTGCTGTAGTAGCGCTACAAGGAAGCAGGCTGGATGGGGAACCTCACTGTTTGTTTTTCTCCCCAGCCTTGTACCATGTCTCTCCACTCAGGGCTTCAAGCTTTTCCTTCCTTTTTGTCCGAGGTCACATTTCTCTACTTACCTTTCAAAATATCATAGTTTTCATTCTTAACAGGTCCTGGTTATAAAACTGAGATCACTTCTACATTATTATTTAAACTTATTCAATAAAGCTTTAAGCTCTCCAGTTTTAAAAACCAAATGATTCAAGTATCTTTAACAAAATACCAGCAAGTAAAATTATAGGAAGATAATTTTTATTTCCTTGTGACATATGCTTCCCCTTTCCTTTGCCCTTGATGGAAAAAGGATTTAGACTTTTATTTAACCAAAGAAGAGAACATGATAGTCATTTCTAAAGATCAGTCTCTCCCCCTGACCTCTTCTTCAGTGGAGATTGAATAAAACTGTATTGTCTACATACTTCTTAAAATAAGCTGAGAACCTCGTCTTTCATTCTTTAAAGCTTTATGAGAATGAGAACCATTTTCATTCAATTATCCCCAGGGCAATAACTTGGAAAACTGCTTTGATGGGAGTAGAAACTTATAAACAATAAATTCAATAAAGCTTTGTTACAAAACCAGTCTGAAAGGACAAGGATAATAACCACATCTTAAGGTTGCCTCTTACTCTTAAAAAAGGTCCCTTTGAGCATTAGTGGTGGGATTTGATCCATAGTACATTTAATGAAATGACAAGAGATAAAGAATTTTACAATTGGGGCTTCATATAAAAAATGCAGCTTGATCATTTGTCATAAACAAGCAATCTGTTCTGCACAGATAAGGACAAATGAAAAATTAATCAAAGTAACTAAACAATTGGTTCATATAGACAGTTATACTGCATAATTCAGAATCTAACTCCCTTTCCTATACTTGGAGCTATTTTTCCACTTCAATAAAACAAGCTTTTCTTGACCCTGACTCAACTTTGCCCTTGCCTTTAAAGACATTACTGTGAAGAATAATCTTTATTAGTTTTCCATAACTAAGACTATTTTCTAATTTCTCATCCAAAAATGAGTATTATATATAAAACTATGATCCATATTACACAAAAATCCAATGCACTTTATACAATTTGATGTTCATTTCAATTTATTGTTATGTTTTTGCAAAATGTAAAGCCCAGGGGTCATAAAACTAAGAAGGAAGATACTCTGTACATTTGTTCATAGTAATTTTGTCCCACTCTCTTCCTTGACTGCTCTTTTTCTTGTTTAAAATATAATATGTTACAATTATAACAAGGCAAATGGTTCCTATCAAACTCATTGCTGTTAAAACTCCTTTCACTATAAGATGATCTCTGCCAGGAACAGAAGCAGAGTTTGGAGAACTAGACCGAGACACCTGGGCAATGTTAGATACAGCAGACTTTAAAGAGTTCCTATCCGTTGCTCTAATGGCCAAATAAATTCTGTAGTTTTCTTGTGTTCCTCTTTCAGGTCGATGTTCGAGTTCACTTGTAAAACGTCTGGGTAAGAATGTAAATATCTCTCTGGTACCAGCCTGCTGAGGATTTAGCTTTGATGTATTCACCAAAATGGCATTGTTAAAGTCATCTTGAATATTCTGTAGGCTTTTACTTATTCTTATTTCATAACTTGCAGCTGAAATTAAAAACATAAATGGGAAGAAGTCACCTTAAGTAAGTTTCATAGTTTATTAGTAATGACTAATGAGAGAGAATAGCAACAAAAAAGTTAAAATATCTGGGAATAAACATAACAAGAAAAATAAATAAGAGTCAAACTTTAAAACACTACATAGTCATACTAAAAGGTGAGCAAGAGGATTTATGTTTTCTGAGATTAAGATTAACATTATAATGTTTTTATTATGGTGATGTAAATTTTGTGATATTTATTAAAAATGCTTTCAATGCTTGCTTTAACTAGTGAAGCTTTTTGCAAAGTTTATATGGAAAATAAATAATAAAAATAGCCAGGTTGAGTCTAAAATATAGTTCAAAAAGACAGATTCTACCAGATATAAAAATAGTATAATGCCTCAATAACTAAACTACCATGGACTAGTACATGAATGGACTTATATTCAAAATTAGGCCAAATTCAGAAATTTAGTATAAAATAGAATTCAAATTAATAGGAGAAAAATAAAAGTTTCTTAATAAAAGGCATTGTAGTAATTGGATAAAAATCTGGAAAAAAATGGCATAGATGGAAGCTCAAAAGTTAGCACAGGCCTTAGAGAAGGGAGAGTAGGAGTAGGTTCTCATCAATGTTCATCCAAGAAAAAGTGAGAAAGCCCTGGATTAGATAACTCCTCTCAGCCTTTATCACAGAAATGATGACTAGAGCAGGAGAGGAGAGGGCACCAAGTTTTTTTCAGTCATGGGAAATAGTTCTCTAAACCTGACTTGTAAGTATTGGCTAGTGAATTTTCAGAAAAATAGTCACTGTAAGTATTTGGAAATATAGATTCCATAGTAACAAACTTCATTTCTGCTGAAGAGACCACCAACCTGTGTGGTGTGCATGTCTCCAATCAAGGTTTCTGTGTGATTGCAGTGAGTCTACCCTGGCCTCTCTACTCCTGTGGCAGCTGACTCACTCTCATTCCTGGGCTCCAGGATGTCAAGCATTATGAGCAACTCAGAGCCTTTCATGACAGCGCTCTGCAGCTTTTTGGGCTCTAAATCCCCAAGTTATTTTCACCCCACTAACTCCTGACTTCATTTTTAGCAATGTTGTCTTGTGGAAAAATAGATAATGAAGCCACCAAACCTACCCTGACCCTGATCAAAGTCTTCTCCTGGTGCTGTCCAAGATAGAATCACTTCCTCTTCCATCTTTACAGCTTCCAGGTCAATAATTTTGCACGGTGGGAAGACGTCAGGATGGGAACCATCTGGAACTCCTCGCACTGAAAAGGAGCCCCCTGAGCTTACTCTGCTCAAGGCCCACTTTTGCTCTCCTTCACTTCTGTGTGCTGATTTCCTTGGAGCATTCATCTGAATGTTATCTGGGCCCAAAAGAAAAGCATAGGCAGGCAACGAATTACCAATCTCCTGAATATCTTGTTCCTGACAGATTATCAAGAGACTTTTGCAAAACTTTTTTTAAAAAAACTACTTGTTTAGAATACCTGAGTTTATTCAATAATTCATTCATTCATTCTGTAAGTACTGAGTGGATATGCTATGCCAGTAATTACAGACAGAAGAAAACAATTCCTCATGGAATAAATTGTATTAGTAATATACACTGACAAATTGTGGTATTTCGAAAGAAAATAGCTCAAATACATAATTTAGAGTGATATCACACTCAAAGATTTTCTAAAGGTTAAAATATCATCCAGGTAAACAATATCTCAGGCAACGGGTACAGTTTGTGTGAAAATTCTGAGGTCAGAAGAGCTTTTTTGTTTGTTTTGTTTTTATTTTTATTAGTACGTGTTTGAAATAGATAATGATTACGTTCTTTGTGGTGGCTGCTACAAGTACACAGCACATCTTAATTCTCTTTATGGCCCCCTCCCTTGGTCCCCTGCCTATTTGCAAAAGATCTATCTCAATCTCCCAGTTTCTATTTAATATTTAAGCTTGTGTGCCTGATTTGTGTTCAGAGTGCTTGCCTAGGATGCCTGAGGCCCTAGGTTTCATTCCCAGTAAAAAAAACAAAAACAAAAACAGAAAAAAGGAAAGAAAGAAAGAAGGAAGGAAGGAAGGAAGGAAAGAAAGAAAGAAAGAAAGAAAGAAAGAAAGAAAGACAAAGGGAGGGAGGGAGGAAGGAGAGGGGAGGGGAGGGGAGCCGAGAGCAGGAAGAAGAGGAGAGGAAAGGAGTTTAGATGAGACAGGAGGCAGAAGTTCATGAAGGAGCACAACAAGCAAGGGGGCCTCTTAGAGAGCCACCTAATGGTGCAGATGAGAGAAGAAAGCAGCTTGGGACAGGTGATAGTAGTGAGAGATGGTAAGGTGCATTTTGGAGAAAAAAGTCAGCAAAAGTGGATGATGAATTTGAATATGGAGGTTCTAGGCATTTAGATACTGTTAAAGCTGTGTAGATTAAGGAGATTACCTAATAGTAATTTTAATTATAATGATAAATAGTATTTACTGAGTGACTCTATGCCAAGCACTTTTTTAAGAACCTTGTGTATAACAAATATTTCATTTTGTCAGCAAAGCTATGAGTAGGGTACAGTTATTGCTTCCATTTTTATAGATGATGAAACTGAGACATAGAAGCTAAGCAACTTAATCAAAGTCACATAGCTCAATCTCATGTAGTTTGGCTCCAGTCAGTAGAGTGAGAAGGTCAGGAGTGAGCGCTGAGACTTTCCAACATTTAGAGGCCTGTTAAGAAAGAAGGAGCTGGAAAAAGAGGCTGACAAATATTCCAGAGAATAAGAGATAGCCAGGAGACTGTGGGGTCATAGAAACGGGGAAATAGCAGTCTCTGTGTAATACCACTGAGGTCAAGAAAAATGAGGTCTGAAGTGTTTCCTTTGGATTTAGTGGGAGGGCGGCCATTGGCAATTAGGGCCAGAGAAATTCCAATGGAACATTTGGGTGGAAGTCAGATTGCAGGGAGCAGAATAGTAAATAGGAGGTGAGAAAGTACAGTTGTGAGGTTTTGGTTAATTTCGGGAGAAAATGATAGAAATAGAGAGGTGATAGCTCGCAGGTGACTAATTTTTAATATGGGTGTGTGCTTGAATGGTGCCCAGAGAGGACAGTAGAGAGGGAATGCAAAGGGGAGAGCTCTCATGGGCTCTCCAGGGTGCAGAGCACACCCAGCAGAGGCAGTGGCCTCAGGGGAGGAGAGGGAGGTGCAGATGCTGCTCTGTCTGGAGGTTTGGTGGTATGAAAATAAGAGTAGCTCCCACTTTTTCAGAGAAGTGTGCGCTCAAAGTCATCACCTGGAAGTGAGCTAATAGAGTGAATGCTATGAACAGTAGGCATGTCATGAGAGCCCTAAGGTTTTCTTTTCTGTGCTATAAGGCCTATATGAAATACCAAAACAAAAGCACAGTTGAACATTTCAAGTCAGACTGCACACTAGGTACTGATATTTGCATCCTTTAAACTTATGGGTTTTGGAAAGGTACTCAATTGAGTCAGGGGCTTGCAAGCTCCTTGATGAGAATCAGGTCTTCTACTTGGTGTGCCAAGTTCCTAACCTGTCACCTAGTAGGCCTGCAAAAATGTTATGCATTAATAAAAAACAGAATATTTATTTGGAAATGAAGTATTTTATCTAGATATAACATCATATCTATGCAATAAAACCATGTTACCTTGCAAATTGATTTACATTGGTTTTTAAGCAATCCCAATTATTGTAAATATAAGTGAGAGTGAAATTGTCTACCAGGTAACACAAAAAAACACCAGGAAATGCAAATCCGCTGTAGCACCCTGATTAGCTTCTAGTGTGAAGTATGAATAGAACAGAAAAATACAGAATCATGTTATGGAATAGTCCAGATGATGGGTTGTAACTGCTGAAATAATGAGTAATACTCATCATCATTAAAATGCTTCGAAATGTTTTTTGAGACTGTTTTTAGAGAGACTACAGCATGATACATTGTCTGTGATATTCCAACTACTGCTCTCTATGAGGAACTAACATAATAGTGTTAAAAAATTAAAGATGTCTATCTCCTATTCATCTGGGATTTTTTTCATCTTGAAGAGAAACAGAATCTCTTCAGGAATCCCACAGATGTCTGTAACATCCAAACTCATATTTATTCAGGAACCCACTTCCTGTGTAGATTATTTGAGCCAGAAGCTTGCTTCTTTCAGCTGTTGACAAATTTTTGCTTCTTTCTTTTGCCTAAACCTCTACAGAGGAAATATAAGAGCTGGAACTTAGAAATCTCAATAAATATATATAGTACTGACTCTGTCAAAACAGTCACAAGAGAAAGGTCAAAATAATTACTAAAATGAGGGTAGGAATTAGCTAAAGAAATTATCCTTTTTTGTTATAAATGAGACTGACAAGGTGGTCAATGAATTATGGATTAACTTACATAAAGTTTTGAAATTCCTTTTTATCTTCTCTCTCTCCTTCCTCTCTCTCTCTCTCTCTCTCTCTCTCTCTCTCACACACACACACACACACACACACCAGAGATATATACATGAAATGATATCACAAGTTAACAGTGCTGATGATTCTTACCATTCACTATGTAACCCGGTACATACAGAGCATGACTTCCTGCGATAGAGTGGGCTAGGGTGCTTATGCTGGGAGAGTGACTGACATGCACTTTCAAGCTATATCTACCACTTACAGCAAAGGAGAAAAAATACCTCGAGTAAATTCCATCATTTTTAATGACATCAGCACCTGTATATGTAGACAAAAAGTCAGTGTCAACACTTGCCATCATAGTTGATTGCTAATATTTTAAAAGCTATTAAAATAATATCCCCCCTCAATTTTTCCATTTTAGTATATGTTACCATGGGTATAACTGGTGATTTAAAATTCAATAGCTCCATAATTTCCTTTTGTGATTCTTTAACCTCTAAAAACTTATTCTCTAAGTGTGAATGTGGTATAATAAAACACTTAAAATAGTTTTTATTGTTTCTTTTACTAGTTTATAAATTTAGATAACAAACAAATGAATTTTCCCAGGAAATAAATATAAGAGCCTATTGAGTTCAATCAGGTGATTTTCCCTAAGACAGCATGATCTGCTCTCCAGGTCAGCTCATAGGCTGAAGCAAGGGAGAAACATTCTGCAAAGTGGATTTTTGAACCATATACAAAAAAATGAAAGGTAGGGTCATTCATAAGCAATCAGAACATGAGAGTCCATTTGGACTCATTTCAACAGGCAAAGAAGACTTCTCTGGTATCCCTCCACAGCAGAATTGAGCTAAAGTCCTCTAAATAGACTTCTGTTCATAAATGTCGTACACGATTGCCATGGTGGAGTGCCAAACCCAAGAATCTCGAAAAAAACCAAAAAACCGAACTTTGAAATAACAGAGCAAAGATATGTAATTTGAAGACAGCAATGCAGACTTTAAGGATCATTATCATTCTGAGAATTTAGTTTAGGAAAAGAACAGAACACGAAACAGGAAAAGTGGAATGACAAATGAGTTTGTTTTTAGAAGTCAAAAAATGTTACTCAGAAGGAGTCCAACAGCCACTGTCTGCCTGGCCTGATACTGTGCTCTCCATACACCATACCAAGGGGGCTTCAAATTCTATTGTGCAGAATGAGAGATTCACAGTAGAGTTTTCTTGATTTACTTTGTTTTCCTAGTGGTAAGGGAAATCTTCTGGATTCCACTAGCTTGCTGATCTAGTCTTTTTGGAACTAAGTCACTGGCCCTGGTTGTACTAGAGAAGGGCTTGTCCTCTTGTTAACCTCATTACGTGGCTAAAGAATAATCTAGGGCAGTGATGGTGAACCTTTTAGAGACCAAGTGCCCAAACTGCAACCTAAAATCCATGTATTCATTGCAAAGTACCAACACTGCAATTAAACCTGAATACTGAGATTTTTAGTTTAGAAAAAAACAACTCATACATTAACATCTTTTGTCTTAAAAGAAAAACACAATAATATGTGTGCCAAAGGTTTACCATTACTGATCTAGGGTTATCTCATGAGTCAAAAGTTCAATTTTCCATTTTTTTTTTTTCAAAACTGGGTCCAAAAGGAAAATATGGGTTAACTATCACTGCATTTCCCTTGTTGGTTTTTGTTTGCTCTTTTGAGTTGTCAGGTCTGATTGCTGCAGTGAATAAAGCTGGTCACTCTGAGTGAAGCAGGACTTAATGAAAAACAAGTCCTTCCCAGCCTTGGGCAATAACCCCCCATCATCCCTTTCTCCCCTGTAGCTGTAACTCCTTGTTCTGATACAGATAAAATTGACAACTATGTCCCATAAACAAAGTTTATGACGCCCTGTTCTCCTATGATTCATAAGGCTCTGTCTTCTTTCAAGGCTAAGTTACAAAATTGTCTGTCCTTGTTCTGTTGCTGTAAATTCCTTGCTAGTTACTAGAAAGACCAAACCCTTGGACAAAATGTATAGAAGCTGGAACTTCTGTTTGCTCAGCACATTTCCTTTGGACAGGAGACTTCTGAGCCTGTGTTCACCTAAAACCTGAACTAAAGTCCTCCTGATTCCCACTGGTCTCTCCTGTCTCTTGGAATTCTGAAACTTGAGAAGATAATGGGCATGTCATAAATGCGCATACACCTATTTCGGTGTGATCTCATTAAGTGACTGTGGCCAGTTTTGCTGGCCATGTGGAAGCCAAGATTTAGGTGTCAAGTGGCTTCCTCCCACACTTTCGCTCTGGCATAGCCCCTCTGAGGAGCCTCCCTGACACTATTTTTCCCCAGGTTAGCCCATACATCCTTAGTATGTCAGTAATTCTATGAGAATTTGAGAGTATGATATGACCAAATAAGAAAAAGAATTTTAAAATTTTACAGATAAGCTTCACATCGGTGCAAACTCATCATGATGTGACAGCTCTTAAAGCACATGTAAAAACATCATTCCTCTCTTGTTACCTGCTCCATCATCAAAAAGTTTCAGCATAACAGGATCTCCAGTCTCTGGCTCAATCACAGCAGTGACAGTAGCATTAAGAATGGGATAAAACCCCTTTCTCACATTTGCATAAATCATCACAGGGTCAGGAAAATGAGTGCTGTCTTTTTCCACAAAGACTTCTACAGTGGCTGGGGGCACAGCGGAGCTGGAGGCGCGGGAGGCCACTGTCACTGTCAGGAGTTGAGGAGAATGGTGGGTGTTGTTCAGGGAGTAAGTCCAGGGCCCAGGCTGCAAAACAAACACTTTTTGTTTGGTGAAGTGTGATGAAAAAAATGAACACTTAATTTTGCAGGATCTATCTAAGACTTTAGGGTTTTTGGTTTGTTGATGTTGTATTTTTCAAAATACTGTAAAAGGATGTCAGAAAAAGTAATATTGGTTAAATGATGGCTAACAAGCCACTGTTACTGTTAAGTAACTTCAGGGAATTATAATGTGGGTTTATTTGGAGGAGGGAGGATACATTTTGATTCATATTTTTAGCACATAACAGTAGCAGCATCCAGATCAAAGTTCTTTGCAAATATTAATCTGGGCCCCTTTACCTGAAAAGAGGTTAAGTGTTTTTATTCCTTTTCACTACTGAGAAATTTATAGCAAATTAAGTGGGCTGTTAGGATTTATGTAGATACACTGGACTAGGGACAATAATATTCTTATTTCCCTTCACTCCTCCCAAACCTCCAGTCCAAGAAACCTCAAACAACGAAAATAAGGAACTGTTAGGGACCAAGAAAAGATCTATTTTTGGTAGGTCAGGATGTTACAAGGTCTGTGTGGAGTAATTTACAGTCATACTGATCTCAATAAAAGGAGCTGCAGACAAGAAATCCACGAATAATCAGCTTTTGAATACTCTCTACTCACCCAGAATAGCTTTCTGTCCTCTCTCTCTCTTCCCCTCTCCCCACCTTCAAATAAATCATTTTCTTTTACTAAAAATAAGAAATATTGCTACACACCACTCTCTTGCCTTCCTAGACTACCTGGAAGAAATCCTCGAAAGAAAGTGTGAAGGAAAAGGCTGAGATTTCAATGCATCAAAACATGTCCTTGCAATTAAGCTATATACAGATTTCTTCCTGATTCCTGCTGCTGCTCCTTGTTAAATCCCAGAGGTAACAGCAGGAACCATCAGAGGAAAGCAAGGCGTCAAGGCGGGGAGTTCAGATGCTGTCACACCCAGCACAGCCTTCTTCCTGTGCTTCCTCATTTTCCAGTGACATCTGATTCAAGCCCTGAGATCTCTCTACCTATTTTTGTTTTGGAATTGTACCATTACTAACAGCTGTATGACAGGAACCTCCACATAAAAAAGGTACTCAAAAGCACATGCATTACATTGCTCATCTTATAAATTCTAGATACAGAATTTTTCCTAAGCTTATAGAAATGTATGGATTATGTAAAGAAAAATGTAAGCTACAGAAGTTATTTGTACAACTACTGAAAATATTAATTTTCATTGTTGACATGAGAAACTTTTATCCAGTCAATATTTAAAGTTTTGAATATAGCTTATTTGCTCCCCTTTAACTTTTAGCACTAACAAAAGGTTTTCATAACTGCAAAGCTTTCATATATCAGAATAAAATTTCTTTTATAAAATGCATCTAATTGTGTTCAGTTGAAAGTTATATACTTGGCCAAATGTTGTCATAATAAACAAGATCATAACACCTACCTTGGCAGTTCCTGGAATGCAAAGGCTAGCTGTTTGAGAAGCTAGACTGGTGGTAAAATTATTTGTGTAGTATTTTCTTCCAGTAGGATCAAATAACACAATCTCAGGGGGACCACTGGTCTGCCATGTGATTAGAAAAACAGTGTCGTTTCCAACACTGTTATCCACATTTACAGTGCTTATCAGTTGATGGTAAGGTTTAACATTTTCACTCATGCTTTCAAGCTGTTAAAGAGAATATATATGTAAAATGTTCTAGTCATTCCCTCTTTTTCTTTAATCACAAAAATAAATTGACAAAAAATCATTTAGTTCTGACATTTACTATATTTACATAAATCATTTTACATACTATATATTATGTAAATAGTTATTAAAATATTTTGTTATAGTTAATGCAAGTGTTACTTCATTATTCTTTGTGAAGAATAATTTAGCTGTTCTTGTATTATCTCTCATCCAAATCAAAGACAATTTTAATAAGCTTTTTAAAACTTTTATTTGTGAATGTGTTTAAATTGTTTTAATTTGTATATAATATATCCAGATACTCTGACAGATTTTAATGAGAAATATAAAATTTTCATTTTGGTATATTTAATTTTACTTTTTGGTATAATGAAACAAATTATTAGCCATTCACAATGAACTGTATATGAGATTGTGTACGTGTGCACACAGTGTACAGAGTGTGTACATATGGCTGACACTGTACTACATGCATCACTTGATTTTCATGAAAACCTTCTGAAATAAGTACTATCACTATCTGCCCAGATGAGAAGACGGAAGCTTAGAGAAGCAATTTTCCCAGGGTCACACACCAGAAAGGTGGAACTAGGATAAAACCTAACCAGGCTAACTCTAGAGACCTTGCATTTAATCACTGTGTATTCACAATGGGTACAATTCTGTGAATAACTTTGAAATTTTATTTTTGTTAAACACATTAGGAACGCTTTGTAAAATTGCTCAGACTGAGACACCATGTAAAATTATATTGGCAGATGGCACCAAAAGTATTATGGATTATTTGTTCAAACCAATTTAACAAGTGTTTGCCGGCTGCCAACTATGTTTTGCACTCTGTGCTGGACCCTGGGCTGCAGAATGAGCTTTAGAGGTTGCTCCTGCCCTGAGTTTCAAGGGACTGATGATGTCTTAGCAACTAGGGAGAGGCAGCCAACATTGTGAATGTGAAGGCTAATTTGAGACCATATTAAGTATATTTTACGTTAAATTTGTTTTTTGACAATTCTTTTTATCTGTATTAAAAGGAAATAAAATATAAAGATTATTGGGAACTATCAGCAGGAAAGCCAATTACAATATATCTTATGTATTGTCATTCATAATTCACATTTTTACTTTCTAATTTGAATGTACTTTTAACTCATAGATAAAAACATAAAAATTATACATATTCTAGGAATATCATGTGATATTTCAATAAGGTATGCATTATATAATGTTTAAATCAGATTAAGCATATCTATCTCCTAATTCATCATTTTTATGGTGAAAACGTTCAAAATTCTTTCTTCTAGGTTTCTGAAATAGAAAGCACATTATTATAATCTATTGTCACCCTACTGTGCCATAGCACACTAGAACTTATTATTTCCATCTAACTAAAATTTACCCACTGATAAACCTTTCTTCCTCTCTCCATCCCCTCTACTCTCCCCAGTCTCTGGTAATCTCCATTCTACTCCGACTTCTATGAGATCCATTCCCATATTCCAAGTACGAGTGAGGTCACGCAGTACTTCTTTTTCTGTGCCTGGCTTATTTCATTTAATACCATGATTTCCAGATCCACTCAGCTGTCATGAATGGTAGGCTTTTTATGCCTAATAGCATTCCAGGATATATATGTACTATGTTTTCTTATATATTATATATTTATCAGTTTATGGACACTGAGATTGTTCCCATTTCTTTGCTGCTATGAATAATCTCCAATCGACACATGAGTGTACATGTCTTTTTGACATACATCATTTCATTTCATTTGTATAAACACCCAGTAGTGTGGGATTGCTAGACCATGTGGTAGTTCTATTTTTAATTTATTTATTTTTAAATTATTTAATTTATTTTTAAATTATTTTATATAATTTCCATCAATCTTTGTATTTCTGTGGTGTCAGTTGCAGTGTCTTCTTTTTCAGCTCTTATTTTATTTATTTGAATCTTCTTTCCTAGTAAAGCCAAGGGTTTGACTATTTATTTTTCATTATTTTAGAAGAACCAACCCCTTTTTTAATTGGTGCTTTTTTCTTGTTTTTGTTTTTGCTTATATTGATGTTCTGAGGATTGAATCAAGGGCTTTATATACGCTAGGCAGGAACCCTACAAGGAGTCATGCCTCCAGACTGATGTTTATTTTTTTCCTTCTACTAATTTTTGGTTTGGTTTCTTCTTGTTTTTCTAACTCCTTGAGATCTAGTAATAGATTGTTTATTTGGGATCTTTCTGTGTTTTTCTGATATAAGTTTTTTTTGCCACAAACTTCCTTCTTGGTACTGTTTTTGTCGTAACCCATAAGTTTGAGCATGTTGTGCTTCCATTTTTATTTGTTTCACCAAAGTATTTAATTTTCTGCTTGATATCTTCTTTGATCCATTGGTTGTTCAAGAGTAAGTTATTTAATTTCCATATATATGTATAGTTTTCAAAGTTTTTCTTGTTATTGATTTCTAGTCTTATTGCATAGTGATTATAAAAGATATTCATCGTGATTTTAATTTTTCAAGATGTGTTGAGATTTGTTTTGTGGTCTATCATATACTCTACCCTGGAGAATGTTCCACATGCTGTTGAAAAGAATGTGTATTTTGCAGTTGTGTGAAATATTCTTTAGATGTCTCTTAGGTCCATTTGGTCCATAATATATGCTTTAATATTGCTGTTTGCTTGTTGACCTTCTACCTGGATGGTCAGTCCATTAATGAAAGTAGAATGTCAAATCCCCTGCTATTATTGTATTGGGGGGTCTATCTCTCTTTTAGGTCTATGAATATTTGAGTACTCTGTATATATATAAATATATATATATATATATATATATATTTCCTCTTGCTGAATTGACCCTTTTATCATTATATAAAGACATTCCTTGTCTATTTTTAATTCCTTTTGATTTAAAATATACTTAATGTGATGTAAGTTTGGCTCCTGCTTTCCTTTGAATTCCTTCCATTTGCATAGAGTATCTTATTCTAGCCCTCTTCTCTCAGTCTGTGTGTGTCTTTAGAGGTCAAAGGGACTTCTTATAAACAACACAGAGAAGGGTCTTGATTTGTTTTTCTGGTACCAGGGATTGAACCCGGGACCTTGCACTTGCGTGGCCAGTGGCAGAACCACTGAGCTAAATCCCCAGCCCAAGAGTCTTGATTTTTTAACCCATTTAGTAACTCTGTCTTTTAATTGGAGAATGTAACCTATTTACACATAAAGTAATTATTGATAGGTAAGGTCTTATTACCCCATCTTGTAACTTATTTTTTAATTTTATTGTAATTTCTTGCACTCTTTTCTCTCTCTTACAGGCTCTTTACGGTTAAGTGATTTACTCTAATAGTGGCTTGATTCCTTGCTAATTATCTTGTTTTGACTGTTACGGATTTTTGTTTTGTTACTATGAGGCTTACAAAAAACTTCTTTTGGTTATAACCTGTTTTGAAATGATAGCAAAATAATGTGATTATAAATATAAGAAAAGAGACAAAGTGAAAACATACTAAAAGAAAAAATTCCACACTTTTGCTTCTTCTTCCTGACATTGTGAATTTTTGATGTCTCATTTTACATCTGTCTATATTGCTTATCTCTTGACATATTAATATAGTGATTATTTTGATTGACTTACTTTTAGTCTATTCTAAAGATATGACTGGCTTATCATGCTTGCCATATTACAGCAGTTTGAATTTGTCTATGTTATTACTTCTAGCAGTGAATTTTATACGTTTTGATATTTTCCTCTTCCTCATTAACATTTCTATCTTTGGAGGAATTCCCTTTAGCCTTTCTTATAGGAGAGGTCTGGTGGACATCTATTCTTTCAGCTAAGTTTGGGAATGTCTTTATCTTTCTTTCATTCCTAAGAGGAGCTTCACTGGGTCCAAGATTCTTGGTTGGCCCTTTTATTTTTCCTTCAGTACTATGAAAAATCTCATGCCACTTTTTTGCTGGCCCTAAGATTTCTGCTGAGAAGTCTGCTGTCATGCAAATTGGGACAAACGCCTACATTTTGCTTTTCTTGGTGCCTTGTCAATCTTCTCTTTAACCTCTGAGAGCTTGATTATAGTGTGCATTGGGGCTTTTTCTTTTCTTTTTTTACTTCTAGCAACAAGACTCTGGTTATTGCCTTTACTATGTACATATAATCTTCATGTTAAATATTTTCTAACAATAATGTACTGAGTTCATTGTTTACATAAGTTATTAACTTGGCAAGTTCACTCACCATCTGTGAGCAAACTACAGATAAAAATTTTTGAAACATTATTCAGTTATGTACAAAATATCTTTAAACTGCTTAGAAAAAATTGGTCCTTTTAAAAATGGCTTGATTAGAGGAAGTTTTTTTGTGACCACAATCAAGAAAGTTGTGGGTAAAAAGCTATTTAGAAATTTTTAGAATTTAATGAACTAGCTGATGCTTCAAAGACAGTAAAGAAGCAAAAAATAAATATAGTCTGGTTGGTGGAAAGTTATTATGGAACCAAATTCATGGTTCTTATTTTTCTCCTGGACCTGCCTCCATCCTGCTCCCTCATTTACCTACATTTTGAGCCACAAAGAAAAAGCAAGTTATCTCAAACACCTTTGAAAAACTGAACTAGTACTGTAATTACAGAAAATATCACCTAGAACTCAAAAGTAAAGACCTCAGGTAGAAAGCCTAGCATTCAAGACACCAAGAACTCAGACTGTTACTTTTTTTTAACTTAAAGGAATCTTTTTTCTTTTTTCTTGCAGTGTTAAGGATTGAACCCAGGGCTTCGCACATGCTGGGCAAATGCTCTAACACTGAGCTATTCCCCCAGCCCTTGTTAATTTTTCAAATAAAGCAAATAAAACAATCAACTTATTCCTCACTTTCTCTTTTTCTCTCCCCCATTTCCCTACCAAAATGTAAATATAACACGGAGGAAATACTGACCTGAATGCTTTGCTGAAAAATGTCTCCAGTGCCAAAGGAAATTCTACTGAAAGCATCCACCATGCTATTAGAGTTTGATTTATCTGGAACATAGAACTTTAAGCCACCTGAAATACATGATTGGAACATTAACTTTAAATGGATAAAATAAAACAAAAAATAAAGTGTGATGCCTTTTCCAACAAATATTCTTTGGCATTAGAGTGTTAATTTTAGGGAAGTAGGAGCAATGTTCAACTCACTTTCCCTGACATCCTATAGAGCCACATGGTAAGCAGCCTGTTCTCTGTCAACTATGTAAGAACTCAATAAATGTTTATTAAATAGCTTTGGGATCAAGGTAATTTCTAGATGATCTAGGGTAATTGCTATCTACTTATATTATTCTATATTTACATTTATATTCTGAAATCACTTTTAAAATATAATTTAATACATTCTAAATTTCAATGGTAAATCAGCATACACATTTTTATTGAATATAATAAAATTGTATGACTGATTTTAGCAATTATTTTAGTCATTTCATAATTTTAGTAATGATTTGTGTAGTTTTTAAGAAAGTCTTTTCTATTTTTTTTTAAATTAAGCCATATAATCTGAGTTTCATGGTTGTACTTTGGATATTCAACTTTAAAGAAATGCTCTCAAAAATTAGTTTTTAGGGCTGGGGATTTAGCCCAGTGGTTTTGCCGCCTGCTGTGCAAGCACAAGGATCCGAGTTCGATCCCTGGTACCAAAAAAAAAAATTAGTTTTCAGAAATTATTACCTGTGCGATGTGATAATTCCTCCAGTTTTCCAGCCTCCGAGGACCCTAGGGCTATGGAATGAATGGTTGCACCGCTGCTGAGCACGGTGGGCAAGCAGTTACTGATGTGCTCATGGGTCCCACTGGTCACTAATATCATCACAGAGCCAGAAGTTTTTCCATTCAGCTTTTCAACCACCTGAACAAAAGTATCAGTCATCGGGAAAGAAATGTAGATCACACATTTTCTTATTGAGCACAAGAATTCACTCTCATTCTAAATTCCCTAGAATGCCTCTGATGTCCTCTGCAGCTCCTTATACTCCAGGCCCTCTCTGATTCAGCTCTCACCTCTTCCCATCACAGCACTTGTCACCCTGCATGCCAGTGCCAGTTTACTTGTGGTTGGGGACTTTTCCTGTTTAAACCACTTTGATGTGTTCATAGTGCTCATAAGTGTCCATCACAGAGGAAATAGGGTACAGGACCGTAGGACAGCCTTGCCTCTGAAGTCTACCAAGTGACTAATAAAAGGGCTTAGAGCAGATGTTCTCAACCTTGGCTACACACTGGAATTAGATGGGGAGATCCCATATCAATGAAATTAGAGTAACTGGGCATGAGACCCAGGCATCAGTTTTGTTGTTTTGGTGCTGGAGAGTGAACCCAGAGCCTTAAGCATGCTAAGTGTGTGTTCTACCACTGCTACATAACCCCAACCTCTAAGTATTTTCTTGTTTAGGTGGTTCCATAGACAGCCTTGGTTGAGAGCCACTTGGCTATATACAGCGACAACCACACTTATGTCTTGCTTGCTATCAGATAACTGTACTTAACACAGGACTACATCCCAGATGCTTATTTAGACAAAGTATCATTCCTAAAATATGCCTCTGACCTTAATTGATTCCCATACACTTAAGGTCTAGTATGACTATAGTCAGGAACCAGACATATTGATTTTGACTAGAAAATCCAGGGTTAACAATGGCCACAACTGAGATGTCCCAGAATAAACAGAGACAGTTAAGAAATTGTCCATATGATGTTTAAGTCCCTCGGTGTTGGGTGTTGTGTTCATTTATATAGTCATTTCTTCAATAAGCATTTGCTAAGCAACAATTACATGCCAAGTACTTTGCTGAGTACAGTGGTGACTATGACTTTGTCCCTGACTTTAAAGATGATCTATCTTTACTCCATACTGAGGCTGTGACCACACTGTAGCAGATCTTCCCTCATTAGAAGGAACCTCAGCTACAAGGATACTGATGGTGATCAAATTTTAGGTTACTGTACTATACCTCAAATCCTTTCTTAAGTCCTGAACAGATGCTAGTTTCTGCTTCAGCTGACACAGTAGTAGGCAGATAAGAAACCAGAAGCTTTCGGTCATCATCACTGTTAATTTGGTGTAACTGGGCTCTGATCTCTCCTTTGCTGTTGAAATTGACAATGCCCACAAAAGTATGAATTTCCACAATCCGCATCAAGTAAAATTCAGCTGCTTGTTGCAGTCGAAGGAGTCTGTCAGCCTATGTCCCAAAACAGAAAAAAGAAAAGTGACAACATTTGATTGGTAGACAAAAGTATGACTAAGTAACTCAATGATCAAATTCTAATTCTTTAGAGACATTGCATAATAATTTTGAGTTACAATTCTTTAGAGACATTGCATAATAATTTTGAGTTACAAAGAGTGACATAATGCTAGAATACTTTCTGATTAATTGTAGGCCCCAGAAAACCCTGCTTCTGTAGGAAGAGGGACTGATTTGGAACAAGCTCTTTGTAATTAAAAACGTATATTGTCACTATTTCTCTCCAGCTTAGAATTCAAAGATACATGGAACCATCTGAGATTAGGTTTATAATTGCTTCTTTTAAAATTCAGTCCAGGTAAGAGTAGACCTTATAAAGAGACCAGATCATGGAGAGGAGTAGCAGTCTATCCTGCTGCTACTCTCTGGTATGGTGATGTTTTAGGCTGGATACTGAAGTTGTAAAGTGGAAATAATAATATATTTCTTGATTATTGAATTAGAATTGCTATGAGGTTCAACTGAGATTTGTACCTGGAAATTGCATATCATTGTGAGCTACTAACCAACTCCACAGTAATGTTAGTGCCAAGGTTTGGGCAGATAATGCTACCAATTAACTCATTAGGGTCTCTTGTTTTGAAGGCTGTGGAGGAAGAGAAAGGAGCACATGGTGAGTTTCATTTAGGGATGACTGATCTCTGTCTCCAACATAGGCATTTCCCTTAGCATCCAGACTTGCACTTCATACTTCTTAGTACACAACACCAATATAATGTTCCATAGATACCTCAGATTCTACTCATTTTTAATTCATTGCCAAATGCCCACCATAGTTCAGTGACAGTTTTAGTAGGGAAAGGGAAGGAAGGTTATTTGGCCGTGAGTTTGTTACTTTGCGTTTATTTCTCTTCTGCTTATTTCAAGTCTTCTCTTGAGTACAATTATCTTTCTCTTTCCATTCATTCTTACTCATTAGAGGCAGAATGCCAATACTGTGTAAATTACACAAAGAATACATTTGAGAAAATCACGCTCTGGTAAACTGCAGTTAAGCAACATGACAAAACTATCCAGATGCCGACTTGTATTAGTGGAGTTCCTAGTATTTTAGAGACAAGCCAAAAAAGGTAAATATCCCAGAATCATTGATCCAGAGAGTAAAACAAGATAAAATTTCTCCCCAACAAGCACTTATTATTAATTATTAACCCAAAATTTTATATTTATTGTCTCATCTATGCTTCCTCGATGATTCTATAACATAGGTAGTGAGTATGCTATTAAATATTTAATAACTGGCTTTCTGGTTTAAAGAAAGAGACTTGATTTGTAGCAATTGCCAGTTTCTATTGGATAAGTATTACTAGCATGGATGATTTCAGGTTGTGATATCAGTGACTGCAGAAGTGGAAAGGGATACACACAAATACAATAGGACAGAGAAAACCTTATCAGTATAGATCAGGTGTTAGCAGACATGTTTTATAAAGGGCCAGATAGTAAAAATTTTAGATTTTGTGGGCCATAAGTTCTCTTTTCCACGTGATTAACTCTGATATTATAGCACTGAAGTAGCCATGGATATATAATAAATGAGTTGCTGTGTTCTAATAAAACTCTACTTACGGACCCTGAAATTTAATATAATTTTCATGTGTCATAAAATAATCTCTTGATTTTCTTCCTTAACCACTTAAGGTGTAAAACCACTCTTAGCTTGTAAGCCATTCAAAGATGGATAGTGGGCAACCTTGGCACGTGGGAATAATTTTCCAACCCTGAACATAGATAACCGTGTAATCAATAGTAGGTTAGGAAGTGATGAGTTTTGAGCATTTAGCACTTTTTTCTAATATATTTTATTTATTGTAAGATTAAATAGTTTAATTTTTGTGTGGTTCTGGGGCATACTGTCACCATTAAGCTACACCCTAGCCCCACAGTTCAATTTTTAATAATGGCTGTGCTTAACAACTGGCTTGCAAGTCTCCTAAAAATTTGACAGTTGACTCTCATGAAACTAGATATCATTGTATCTATTTTAAAGATGAGAAAACTAATTCAAAGAGGTCATCTTGCTTACATAGCAAGCAATAGAAGGAATCAAGACTTAAAACATATCTGCCTGATTCCAGACACTAAGCCTTTAATCATTCTCTGAGAGCTGGAGTTTTCCAGAGTGGGTTTCCAGGAGGCTTCCAGATTGCCAGAAAACTGTACACAATGACACGAAAAACATGCATAGTGGACACACGTGCTCCCTGCAAGTTCAGTCTACTATCTGAAGCAATGATGTTCACCAGTGAGTGATTATTTTACATGTCAGAGTTTTAGCAAAGGGTCTTGATTGAAAAAGTTAGAATCAGTTAAAAAACAATGATTAGAAATGATCTCTGGATTTTATTTTTTGATTTCTGGGCCGAATTCTGAATTTGTTCCTCCTATTCTCCACCAAATAAAATGTTTTTAACTATTTTGAACTTTTGTCTCCCTAACCATCATCCTTAACCCTAAAAATGAAAAGAATTGAAAAATGATGAATGATTTACAATAATTTTGTTTCAAAATGTTACCTCTGCCATCTTGCTAGACACATCCAGCACTAAACAGACCACCTTGTCACCATCCTGTACAACAGAGAATGTGGGAGGAGGTGGAAGCTCAGTCCCATTCATGGGAAAACTGTGACTAAAGTCAGAGGAACCCATAATAACGTCCCAGGCACTTCTCAGGCTGCACATTTGGTTCTGTAAGTTTGGAGCTTCTTGGTTATGGGTATTTGTGTTACAGAACTCAACCACCTGCAAAAAGAGCAGAGTCCATCAGAGAGTAAGAGCAGACACATTTCCCAGACACATTTCTCATTCTCAAGCCACTGTAGGTTAAGGAAAGGTGAGCTGAAAGAAAAACAATGAAAATGCTACATTCATGTATTTCTTTCCTTCAAAAAGGACATCAAGCTTACCAATAAACCTTGACACCCTTTGCTTGAAACAGTGGCATCCTTGTGCTAGTGAGGACAAATTCTATCATAAAGTTTATTTGTACTGGGATAACAGACAACAGACCATGTATATTTATCTTGGTCTTAAAAAAACAATCTCCCTCCTTTCTTAGAGTGATATTGTATTAAGGAAACACCCCAAGAGATATTATCTTGGCCAGCCTATTCTTTGGAGTCATATTAAATGACCTCTGCACCTTTATTTATGGATGTTTATTTTATGATCTACTTCAAATATTGATCCCTGTAAGAGTAGGATAAGAGGAAAGGCAACTTAAATCTACTTCCCAAAACTTTTCATTTAGAAATACAGCTCTATTGCACTTAACAAAAATAATAAATCAGTGTCAGCATCCCACTTAAAGGTATGGTTTGCATTGCAAAGTAATGTATCACCACCTGTTCCCAGTAGTTCCATTTCTACAAACACCTAGACTTCTTGCTAAGTCATGGGAACTTAGAACTAGAACACTTATAGACTCTAGTCCTATTTCTAATTCATAGAAGAGGAAGCTGAAGCTCGGGGAAGTTAATACCTGCTCAAGACATGAGCTTCTTAGGAGGGTGTGAGGCAGGAGCAGAACTTGTTTTGTTGTATTTAGGTCTTTTTCCCTACATTTCATGATTGTGGCTAGGAGATTGCAAAATTATAGCTGGATGTTTTTTGAGTAGGTCTTTTAAAGGATTACAAAGATTGTACCTAGTCACAAAATAATATGAATTAAATATCTGGAATTAGATTGGCTTCAGATATGAAAGCTATAAATTAAAAGTATAATATACAGCATGAGAAATATGAAAAATCACCTTAAAGTTACAAATGCCTCCTAGCCTTGTCTAAAACCAGGCTGAGAGAAAAAACAATCTTAAACAAAAAAAGCAGCATTTCAATGCCAATTGGTCAGCTGTGAAAACAAAGAGGAAACTCCTCATAGCCACGTGTCCACAATGCTCCCAGCCCCTCGGAGAGAAGACCCACAGGTGTGACTTTCAGGTCTTTGTGAAGTTGGATAGATACACCAGGTCATAAAGGCTGATTCCTCTAAATCTCTGAGTTATCCAACTCCCTCCTTTCTGACTCCATGCTTTCAGAGCAGGCCTCTGCTGAGAATTTGGCTATTCTGTTTGCTTCCTTCAGAGAGAAAATGAGACAGCTAGAGGATGCAAGTGATACCTTAAATTTCTTTTCAAGTTTTAAGCTATGCAAAACAAAGAGAATTGGCAAATGCAATTATAATATAAAATGATTTGCTACCTCAAATCAGGAAAACACAATCATCTGTTTTCTTCTTCTCATTAACCTAAAACACTTTCCTATGAAAGGGTACAGGAACACCACTATGTGAACAATTTATTTTGTGACCTCTAGAGTCCTTTTGTAAAATCACCTTCTTTGGAAAGCAAATTATCACTTTTCTAAAGAAATTTAAATTTGCTGATCATCTTGGAGGGCCTCTGCTTTTTAATACACAGAATAGAAACTAAATGAGCCCTAAGGTCCAACAAGCGCTAGTGTAAAGAATCTTAATTGTCTTGTATTTTAAATATTGAAAACATGTCAGTTCATTTTGGGAAGAGATGAAATCTGATAGGAGTTTGTCATTCCAAGGACATACTTACAGAAGATAAACTTTGCATGAACATTATTGATGCAGTTGCATTTTGGGTGCTATTGTAGAGGAATGTACATCCTTCTTTGAAAAGCTTACTAATAATACAATTTTCGTGGGGGCAAAGGCCTTTTTCACAAACAAAAATGCCTGTAATGTCTGATGAACACCTAAAAAAGAAGGAGAAACTGGAAATTGGTTCTGTTTTAGAAGTACTTATATTTCTTGTTGACTTAGCTTAGATAATAATTTATTCCAGGTAGTGTAGCTTGCTAAATACACATAAAAAATTTCAAAAACTGCTCTATTAAGAAAGTTTGTTAATTTAAAAATGCATGCCACTTGATTGTAAAGCATTTTATGTCAATGAAAGGGTTGTGTGTTGCTGAAGATTTTAACAACCAGAATCAAATCGAAAGATACCAGGAAATCTAGAGGAACTTTGGGAATCCCAAGCAAGGGCATAAGCAGCAAAATCTTGAGTCAATGTTCCTTTGGGTTCGTGTCCTGGATATCAAGAAAAGAAGGGAATGATCATACAACGATGGAATTTAAAAAATTTCTTCCTCAATAAGTGATCTCAAATGTTGTCAATGGGAGTGATAAGTGTCACTTTCAGGAGAGCAATCAGTGACTATCTGTCAAATTACACTTAAGGGTATCCTCTGACACAGTAATTCTTGGAAGAATTCAATAGATATATAGTTCTGCCTGCATAATTAGAAATGGCATATGCGTAGCATTATATCTTGCAGTGTTATTGGTAATAACAAAAGATGAGATTTAATCTATTGAACAAATTATGGGATATCCACACAATGAAACACCGTGCAACAACTTAAAAAAAGGTGAGGAAAATGTATATTCATATTTATTTAATTTTTTCTGAAGAAATACTATAAATCAAGAAAATATTAATCAAAATGGCTATTTAGAGTTGATGAAAGGGAACAAAATGAAGACAGTGATAGAATAAAGACAGCTGAGAATATAACTTTTTATATTTTTTTGATATTTAACCATATATTTACCCATTTTTCTTAAAAATGCAATAAAGTTTTTTAAAATGAAAGGATCTCTTATTAAGTTTCAGTTGCCATTATAGATTTAATTTTATTATTTTTTCAGATCATGTGACATTTAAATCAGTAAAAACATCTACCTCCTCAAAAGTTTATCATTTCTTTATGGTAAAAACATTCAAAATGCTTTCTTCTATTTTTTGAAATGTATAATACATTCATTAATTTTAGAGTCAAATACATAATAAACATAAAAAATACTAACCCTGTTACTTTAATTTCATTTTGGCCATCTATGTAGAAAGGTTTATCATTGTTATATTCATCAAACACACCCCAACGGAAATGGGCCCATTCATGGACAAACACTCTGCCTGTGGAAGAGAGAGGAAGTTCCTAAAATCTCAGCAAAGGGCCTGACTGATCAGGAAGATGAAGCCTCACTTGACTACACAGTATATCCTATTTGAAAGAACTGAAATACATTTCCTTCTCCCACTTTCCTCTCCCATTTCTTCTCGTCCTACTCTGTACAATCATAAAAAACACACAACATGAAAGCATTAATGGTCCTGTAAATGCAAAGCAGCGATTTAGTTCTACATCTATTGAAAGGTAGTGAAGAGTCCCATATCATCTCATTCCCCAGTGAAGCTGTCTAACAGGTTTCTATTGGGCTTCAGAGAGGCCTATAAATTCAGGGCCTGGGGAAACAGGAAAAAGTATATCCAGGAGAGCAAATAAAGCTCTCCCCATCTCAAGTCTGTGCCATCCAAACATGCCTGTGTTTTTTTTTTTTTCTTGCAAGTAATTCTCCTATTTATAACAATGATTGAAACGGGGTGGGGTGGGGGGACAAAAAAACTTGGCAGAATTCCCTCTCCAGTTTTCACCCTCCTGTATCTTTTATTATTCATGTTTATGTTTATTTCCAGCTCTTATTTCATGGAAAAACTCCATCCTAGGCATCAAATTCTTTATATTTTACCTTTCTAAATCCTATATTTCCTGCAAAGTTAAGACCAGAATTTACTTCCTCATAGAAGTTTTCCACATGCACTACTCTTGCAAAGCACATATTTCTTTTTTTCTGAATTATTTTAAGTTCTGGAAGCCCAGGGAGCATTTTCTGAATTGACTCAGGCTGGGTCCTATTGTGCAATTTGGGGATCTTGGGACAAAGGAGGAGAGGGGAAGGGAGGAGAACAGACCCAGCTGAAAGTATTAAGAGGAGTTTGTGCCTAACACGGAATTTAGAAGCACTGATTATGTCATCTGTTGGTGCAGGATTATCTGCACCTTATGATAACCAGGGGGGAAAAATCATTTACAGGGCTTTATAAAGGTATAATAATGTTTCATAACATGAAGCTGCACTTCCTGCTAACTATACAGAAAATAACAAAATCTATTTAGATTCAAATAGGTTAAAACTTTGAAACATTACTTGAAAGGCACTACTATAAATTAAAAAAAATAAGTTTGAGAAAGTTCTCCCTTGACCAGCTGATCTCTTCTCACTGTTTCTTACTCAGATCTCACTCGCAGCCTGCCTGCCCAGAGTCTGCAGACCTGTGATCCTGACTTTTTTCCCAAGCTCCAGCCATTGATATCCAACCAGAGGTTGAACCTTTCAGCAAGACAGCCCAGAATTCCTGCCACATAGGGAGTCCTTATTGCTCTTCGTAATGTCTTTTTGGCTTTCTGCTTCCATTCTAACACGTGTCTGATGGCCTCATTCTTGGACTCCTCCCAATTTTCTTCCTGATACCCAGTTTCTCCCACATTGATTTCAGTGGGTCAGATTATCACACAGCCAGATTAATCTTCTGAAAACAATGTCGTGATGGTGCCACTACTGTGCTTGTGAACTGTCAGTGGTAACTTGATCATGGGAGTATTTTTGGCATCCATCACGTCACCTGGCTCCTCTATGACTTTCATCATTTTCTCCTATAGCCAGTCTCAGAATCTACTTCTCTGCACCTTTGAAACAGGCCTTGGATTCCTCTACAACCACAGCTTTATTCATATTCTCTCCACTAATCTCTTGTTCTTTCCATTAAAAAAATTATGTCAACCTTGAAAGCACTTTGTGAGACCTGTTCTGACCACCTTTGGCTCAAAGTTCCTTCACTGAATTCCTAGAGTACTCCTGTCCTGGGCCACTAATCAGGCACTTAATTCTTCCTGGCTCACTCTCTCTTACCTTTACATGTGCATGTGGCCTCTCTATCCAAGTGGTAAGTAAGACATTGACAAATTTCAGGTTTTCTGAGCCCCTTTCAGCACAAAACATTGTGAATAGTACTGCCCATTTTTATTAGTTGCACTTACCCCGCGATCCATAGGCAGTTGTCAAGTCATCATTCAGTAGAAAGTTTGATGTGAAATGAATATATTTCCCCTCTTTCCCACACCCTCTGTATTGTAGGGTATATGGATCATCTCTATTTACTCCATTCCAATCAGTCACTATGACATTAGCCTAAATTGAAAGAAATACATTGTCATACTCTGTATCTCCACTAAGATGTTGGTGACATAAATGTATACTAAAGCACTTTGAACTGTACACCTAAGATTTGTACATTTCACTGGATGTAATTATGCCCTAAATTAAAAACAAGTTAAAGAAAAAAGAAAAGGAATGCCTTCTAGGTTGGGTTTAGAATAGACATAGCTAAATATCAACTAAATCATTTGGCACTTTCAAAACTATTTCAAATGCTTGGCAAATCTCCATGGCACTTCATTACCTCCTTTGAAGTTCCCATTTTCCAGGTAAAAATATTCTCAAAAGTCAAAACTATAAAAATCTGATATTATAAAATGCTATAAAATGTAACAAAATAGAGGTTTTAAGAGCATTCATGTATACTATTCAAATTCGTGCTGTAAAGAGTTATAGTCTTTTGAAAACAACCATGAGTTATTTCATGAGTGAAGGCAGGAGGATGTGTTTCTTTTTAGCTTTGTCCTTCCTTTCATTTCTATAACCAATTCAATCAGGAAAACAATCATTCTAATGAAATTATAATTCATCTTATGCCGTGACCATTTAAACTCCTATTGTTAAAACATGATATTTTAAGTCCAAAAATAAAGTCTCTGTTCCAATAGCCAACAAGACAGCAGAAATTTACATATAACATTACTTTTCATTATTTTTAGGAAGAAGGATAACATGTCTCAGATCAACCCTTAAAACAAGTTAATAAAGGGGCCTGGATGTGGAGCAATTAGATCCCATATGTATATATCGTACATGCTATGTGTATGTATATATGTGAGACATAGAGGAGTGGAGGAAGATGATATTTTCAATCTTTCTATATGTTTTGGTTTTTCCCAATGAACACAAATTATTATAATTTAAAAATTATTATTACTATTTATTTTTAGAAAACCAAGGGCATTGCAAGGCGAGAGGTCATGCCCTTGGATAGTCTTCACTTTGACACCACCTCACTCTTCTGTTGCGAACTTAGTCCTGAAGCAAAAAAGGAAAAAATGCCCTGCATGCAATAGGATACTCAGAGGTTATTCAGGGTTATGCTGTACCTTGTAGACTGTAATAATTCAGATTTTATCTACTTTTCCTAATCTTCCCTCTTCTCTCCTGATTCCTACTTATACCACACTGTAGATTCACAAGATCAAGAAATACCTTGCTTGTCCTTATGTCCTCTGCAGTGTTTCACAAGGTCCCTGTACATATAATTATTCATTCAGTGTTAATTGACATTGTGAATCCATGAGATACATAAACAGAATTCAATGATTATTCTTTCCTCTGATCTTTCTGGTTTGTCATAATCTCATGTATGGATGACTTATTTATTTCTCTCCCTGCCATTAAGATCAGGATTGCTACCTTTGGTAACCTAGTTCTGCTCCTGGGTGTTTCTAATACTTCCCCTTTTACTAAAGGCCAAATTGATTAATGTGCTCTTTATAGATAATAAGAAACTCCATAGCTTAGTGCAAACAACATGCATTTTGAAGTTGAACAGACATTCAAATTGTGGCGCTGTGATTTATTAGGTGTTTCACTTGGAACAATATCCTTATCTTATGTGAGATACAATTTTCTAAAACGCAATTACAGTAACTAATTTCAGGCTCCATAGGAATTCAATAATATATGTAAAATACCTGGCACTTAGTTGAAGTTTAATAACACTAGTTCTCTTCCCATTTTATTCCAGTTTACTTATCTATCTTATCTCCATAGTAAGCATTGCTAGATGCTTTCATTGATCATAAATCAAATGCTTTTAAAGGCTCCTTTAACTTCTTTAGGATTTTAGGGTTCCTATCTACATTGCTATACCATCTAAATCCTCAGAGTAACTTCAAAGGAGAGCTAAGAATGAAAACAATCTTAGGATCATTCATACCAAAAGACACAAATAAGGAAAAAGGAAAGTTGTGTCATGTGTTCTAGCTATACTGATTGAGCTGGAGTTAGAGATCTCAAGCTCACTCTACTGCTGAATCCCCGAGCCAAGTTCTCAGGGCCTCTTCTCCTGGCCCTTCCGGTAGCTGTGAGTGGCTCTTGTTCACATTAATTTCCAACAGTCACTGGCCAGACATATTTAATATTTATTTGGAGTGTACATACCAGTACATGGCAGGCAACCTTATGGGTGATTACCTATGATCGGCAATTGTGAGAATCTTTTGAGTTTAAGTTCTTTCTTCAGTTGGAAAAGAAAAGATAGCCTTTCCCCCACCTACCCTCAACCTTCTGGCCTTCCTTCCTATTTCCTTACTCCTCTAAATTAACATCCTGGACTTGATTTAAGGTGAAATTATGATAATTCATACTATTAGAAAACAGTCATATTTTTAATATGCGTGGGTGGCTTATGTTTCTGTCTAGACATGCATATTACTAAAAAAGATATTCATAATTGGAAATGTTCCCTTCACTACTCATCCTCAGCAGGATACAACCGACTCTTGGTCCTCAACCAAAAATTTCAGCAAAGATCCTGCTACTTACAGAACAAAGAGGCCTTCTAAAAAGCTACTTGGGAAATGCCATTCTACTTATTTTTTTACTCCGTGATTTGCATTCTTTTATTTTATTTCCACATAGTTTTCTTTTTCTATTAATTTTAAAAATTTTAACTGACACAATAATTTTATGTGTTTATGGGGTACAATCCATGCATTTTGTTAATAACACTGCTCAGAAGTATTAGTTGTGTATTAACCTCTATAACACAATATATTTTGGTATTTTTTCCCTTCCAATGTAGGTAAGCTTATTTAATGAAATGCTGGCTTCTTACCTTTTCATATGATTCTTGTTTTACTTTGCTGTAATTATTAACTTTCCATGTGACAGGTATTAAAATCTGTATATTTCTGAAAAACACTCTTCTCTTGGTAGCATTGAACAGGTAAAAAGAAGCTTCTGTTATCATTTCCTATACACAAACCAAAAGAGAACGTTTTTATCACTTGTAAATCATTTCTATTTTGGTTCTCTGGCTGTGTGAAAACATAAGAGCAAAATTTGTAAAAAAACAATTTTTAATAATTATGTGGAAGAGAGGAAACTATGTGTCTAGGCTTGCCCTCGTGATTATCCTAAAATTTTGAAAGGGCTTTAAGCTTTCACAAAACAAGTCCTTTTCATTTCATATCTGTAGGCATGTTCATGACCACACCTTATGATGATACATCTTTCACTCCGGCAATACCAAAAAGAGGCTCTTGAGTAATGATTCTCCCTTGTTATATTCAAGTGAAACATTCATTTACAGAACACCAGGTGAAAAGATAGCTTTGTTCTCTGGCACTCAATACAGACTCTTACCTTTTCTGTCTGAGAATGTTCAGCCTCGGGTTGAGATCCAACAGGATGATTCTAGTAAGTACTGTTATGGTTATTCACCAAATACCCAGTCTTACTTTGCGGTAATAGAATGTTAGTTTTATGAGCTGTTATCCCCAAGACAATCATGTAGGTAAACAACAACAAAATGAAAATTAACAGTAACAGACAACAACAAAAAAAGAGGACGACAGTAACAGATAAGAAAAAAGAGAGCTAGATCATTACTCTGTGAACTGAATTATACACAATTAGATGAACAAACTGGTTTGATCACAATCATGATTTTTGGTGATATCTTTAAGAAGTGCTGTTCTCTGTACCAGTCAAATGCAAATCAGGTGCAGTTGTTAGCTTTTTAATGACGCCTACAAGTCTGATCTAATGAGATCATAACATTGATTCAGAATTGACACTCACCTTAATGTTTGGGATGAGATTCTGATTCTCAGGTACCTGCGGATTAATTGCAACGAGTAATCCATCATAGCCATTGTCTTGAAGCTGTACTTCAGCTCCCAGGAATAGAAGTTCTGGGCTTAGGGCAACAAGAAGAGTCACAAACTTCAGGCTGCAGAGAGGACTTAGGTTGTCCCTGTGGGTCATGTTGTAAAGAAGTATCCTGTTCATTCACAGGGGGACTGCTGGGCACATTGTATCAGATGTTCAATGTAGAAGCAGATGGTTTCTTCCTCTACTTGGAAGGTCTGGAACATTCGATGAAGAAATTCCTTCTCTGAAAAATCTGGGGTGGATCTATGTGGGACCTGTCTCTACAAGTTCTTTTTCTCTAAGACAATACTACGCTTGACTCCTCTGTGATTAAGCTTCCTCCTGATTCATAGTTGGGCAAGAATCCTTTCACCTTTTACTCATTTTATATCTTCTCAGAAGGAAAAGGGAAAGAACTCAAAAGGAACTTAAAAGCAGATGCCTGCCTTGCTGGGCTGGGAATCAGTGTATTCAGACTAATGAATCCACTTGCAGTAGAAACACAGGAGTCTCTAGTGATTTTCCTTTGCTCATCCTTGGCAGCCTCCTGTCAGTCAGCACAACTACTTCCATGTACTCAGGTCATTGTTTTTGTTGGTTGTAAGATTTCTTTTCCTCCCTATTTTGAAGATTTAGAAATCCTCTCTGCAGCCCTGTCCCTGGAGCTCTGGGTGAAGCAGTCTGGCAAACTATCAACTGATAGCTGGGGTAGGGTATCAGATATCCCCTAGGGAGGCCCAAGTGCCAGGAACTTAATGGTGTGCAGGCCACAAGGCCTTTCTCTGACCTTGTTGCATTTTCCCTCTGGACCAAGGAGAAGAACAGGCTTCTTGCACCCCCAGCAATTCCCTCCTGGGGGCAAGGCCCTGCCTCAGTTAATGTATTTGACCAGTACCACTGGATTTAGTATGCAGTAGGCTTCACAAATATTTTATGACTGATTAATAATGTCTGAATACTACGTAATGCTTTATAGTTTACAAATTATCCCATTTAAATTCCCTGATATACGTATAACTTTTGCTGGCACTTTTCAAATAAAGACACTGAGTATCAGAAAGATTATGATAATTAGCCTATTGGGGAAGGAACTAATATTTATTTAGTGATAGGTTTTATTATGCCATTTTATGAGTGACAAAACTGAGGCTCAGAAAGTCTATAAAATTTGTTCAAGGTTGTGTTTATTATCAGTGTTGAAATGAGACCAACTGGCTCCAAATTTCATTGTTTGTCACTATCACATTACCAAATTATCTTATGAACATTCTTTCTCTCTCTCTCTCTCTTTCTCTCTCTCTCTCTCTTTCTTTTTTATGCAAGTATGCCTACCATCAGAGTGGAAACCACTGAAAAACTGTCTAACACTAAGGGGAAAGTTTTATTTATTGGAGACTTTTGATCACCTGCACACTCTTCTCTACCATGGTTCCCTCTCTGAGTATTGCTGGGGAGGGAAGGGTAGCAGGCAGGGAAGGATTTATCTGTTCCTACTCTCAGCATGATCTCTCATGAAGACTCTTATCAGTTCTACCAGCCATGGTCAGGGGCAGATTGAAGTTGTTCTCACTTCCCTAAGAACTGGAGTCTTCTGGTGTCTTTGACAAGGCAAATAATCATAACAACAGACAGAATTTAACCAGCACTTACCATGCAGGTAATTTGCTTATTGATTGCAGTCCTCATTTTATAAAGTAAGTAATATTATGATTTTCATTTTGCAGATGAGGAACTGGGACTTAATAGGTTCCATAAAACAGAAAATAATAGCCACCTCATTGGCTAGTTGAAAAAAGTTTTTATTAATACCTTCAACAGTATCTAGCGGATAGTAAGTGACATATAAATATTAGCTATCATTGTTATTACTACCATCACCTGACATATATAAACCTTTCTCTCCTCTCATAAATATCTATTGCTCAGTAACTCAGTGCACTGTGGGAAGCAATGAGAATATCAGTGAACAAATTTCAGCTCCTTTCCCCCAAGCAGCTCACAACCTAACAGGAACAATGATAAATTATAAAAGGGTCAGCATTAGAGATAATTGTAACCCATTGGGGAACATCTAAACCAGGTTTGAGATGGGGTGCAGGAAAGATTCTCTGAAGGCAAGGCTATCTAAACTGAGCCAAAAAGAAAGAGCAGGATTTAACCAAGATGGAGTGACTGAGGTTGGGGAGGAACCTTCACAGCAAAAGCCTTCAGGTAAAGGGCTGAATGGGGAGAATTCCAAAACCTGAAATAAAGTGTCAGAGCTGCACCATTCAGGAATATTGAGGGGAATATTTCCCTTCTAGCCCCTCTGTGCAGAGTTCCTCTCTTACTTTGTTTTACCAGGTTTTCCTTCAAATTCCAGCACTGTCCTACAAACCTGACCTGAGCTCTCTCACTAGGACAAGTCCTTCCTTTCATACTTTTACAGCATCAGATATCTCTTCTCTGAAGCATGAGCATGGTTACACTGAGACATTTGTGTAATCACAGCTTCCAGCGGTAAGGTGTATGATAGAAGGGCCATGGCTGTTTTGTTCATTGCCTCCCCAGCATCTAGGTGAGTCAGTGCTTAATAAATGTTGAATGAACAAATGGAGTTAGCAGAAGTAAATAAATCCATATCACAAAGGTGCCCTGGATTTCAGTGCAAAAATGCTGCTCCCTACTTTTGTTTCCTAGCAGGTTATCTCCTCTGTTCCAAGCAGTGTTCCACCTGCTCTCTCCTGACAGGCAGCTGTTGCCTGTTGGTGCTCTCTGGGTGTGTTAGGAATGCAATATCCCCGTTCACCATGTGGCTGCCAAAGTTGTTCCCCTGCAGCTCAGCCTTATCTTATGGTACTGATTTCCAGCGTGAGCTCCCCCCGCCGAGCCCCCTGGCTGGCAATTCCAAAAGTCTGCCTATAACTGTGACTCATTCAGCAGAATAAAACACTTCATTTCAACTTTTCTTGGCAGTTTATTTTCTTATGCCAGTCTCTCGTGCTTTTAAGAAAAATTATACCCAGCTGTAAAGCAATATATTCAAAACTTAAACTCAGAAGCAGATCACAAGAATAGTTGCCCCCCGCCCCCAGAAATCAGGAAAGTGTTTCTTGCCACTAGATATACTTGTGTAAATTGTTCACTGGATGAGGAGAGAATTTAAGACAGCCATTCAGTGTTCTCCATTTGTTTCTGCTATCAATTAAAAACAACCGCGTTAGGGTGTGAGTATGGAGGATAGTAGCTACAGTGTGCATGTGGATTTATAAAGAACAACCACAAGTGAGCAATCTTGTCCAACTTTACCTGACTTAAAACCTGAATCATTTGGGCTTTGCTTAGCCTGCGCTGATAGTCCAGGCTGACATCTACTCATATCTATCTTCATTTTGGTGTCTTGGTTCTATCTAGTCTGGCCACTTTACAGGACTCTACTTTTTTTTTTTCCTTTTGTGATCTTTTATTTATTTATTTTTCCTTAAATTCTTTTATTGGTACATTTTAGGTATACAATATGTTTACATTTATCATATGGGACTCTACTTTTACCAACGGTTTCGGTTCCCAGTCATTAACTCATTTTCAGGCCATGTTTTGGGAATCACATTAACTTCTAAAAGCCTTTCCTGTCACCTCTGTTCTTCCCTGCCCTTTCAAACCCATTCTGCTGTCAGCAATCAGGCATGGAGCCAGGCCAATTGAAGATTTCTTCTTACTGCCTTCACCTCTCAGCAGTATTTCTTCTTATTGCTTCTCCTCTCCTACCCTACAGGACACCAAACTGAAAAGCTGGAGAAAACTGACTTGACTAAATGATTAAAAGTTACTCTTGAGCAGAATGTTCTCTTCTGGCAAAGTATGACTTTCAATAAATAATTTATCCTTTTATGCAAAAGGTATTTACTAGTCACGTCCATAGATGTTTTGATATCTGAGAAATAAAATATACCTGAAGTGAAGAAAAATGTGAATACAATTCTCAAGGACTTATTTTAATGTTATATAAACTCTAGGAATCTACTCTGCTTTTACTTGCTTTCAAAAAATAAAAGTTATTCAATTTCAGTAACTGAAGAATCTAAAGCACATCTTTGTTCATTGTCTGAATCTGTGGGTCAGCTTAGCCTCAGAGAGGCCTGTCTGTTTCTTTTCAAAGAGGCTGCTGGTGCAGAGCCCCAGGCAAAGTGAATAAACCATCTAGTTAGTGTCTGAGAAGTGAGGAGATTTGAAATCTTGAGGAGTCAGAAAGTTTGGGATCTTTTCTTCTGTCTCTTGTTTCAACAATCCTATTTAAAAGAGAAAAGTGTGGACAGTGTGTGATTGGACTATAAAGCTTATGGGTACTTTGGCTTATGCAATGTTTATGAAATGAACCAAAATAGAAGTGAGACAAATTCTAAAACCCAAGATATAAACAGAAATTAAAAGAGGTTGCCAAGGGCCCTGATGGCATTTCTTGTACTACCTTTTTCGCATTTCCATTTTCAGAGCAACAGAGTGAAGCAGATGGTCCACACAAAGCTGGAGAAGCCGTTTTTTTCCGCTGAGTCACCATCATGCCCAAGCATGGAGATCAAGAACAAAAGGTGAGATACAATAAAACATAAACACAGAATTAAGCACGTCAATAAAGCAAGCAATGCCCAGAGATAATTCCTTGAGGGCCTGCTGCTGAAAAAATTCCAAAATTGAACAAACAATCTTACAGGGCAGAAGAAAGCATTGAATTTGGATATTGTATGTGGGATAAAGACTTGGGAACCCCGAACATTATTACAAACAACCTTTCATGTTTGTATGGGGTTTATAATTTTCAAAGCATGTACTTTTTCAATATGTACTTTACTTCATGAATCACAGGAACTTATGAATCCTTCTGTGGAAATTAAAACATGGTAGAGGTAGTTATTCCTTTTGAAGATCATTTGAATGAGGTTTTTCATGGATACAAAGCTAAAATTTAACTCCATTTAGCTTATGGTTTTTCTAAAATTCATTCTGTGCATATCATGAGAATGTACGCTGAAAAGAGCAGGAAATATTGGTTGTACAATCACTTAAACTCTTGAGGCTTGGTTTCTTCACCTTTAAAGTAAGGAGGTTAAGGCCAAGGATTTAGCTCAGTGGTTCTACCGCCTGCCTCACAAGTGCAAGGTCCCGAGTTTGATCCCTAGTACCAAAAATAAAAATAAAAATAAAAATAAAAATAAAAAATAAGGAGGTTAAGTTACTTAATGGCATATTCTTTGTGTGATTCAATGTGACAGTAACTTAGCAGATTACTTCGTGTGTGTATGTACATACACACACAACCACACCCCAAATTTTGCTGAAATGAATGGAAAATAAGAACTAGTATTAATGGCAACCCAATAAAGAAAATGGGAAAAGGTATGAAATAGTCTTCATTTGCAAAGCAGGTATAAAAAACTGCCTTCTATAAAATACTGTTATATCTGTCATGTATGAGATCGAATACAGCATTATTTTTGAGAGAAGAAAAAAAAAAGAAGGTAGAAATGTAGGGGAAAGTTTGAAGGAGATGAAAAACAACCAGAGAAACTATGAGAACAGCACCTAGGAGTAGCATAAGCTCTTGACTCTGTGTTTTCCGTAGTCTCCACTTCTGTTTTATTCCTGCTCTGACTCTGGTCTCAATAAGTCTTTGAGACGCCAAGTCTTTGCCAAATTCTCCTGCTGCCTCCAATTCCAAAGGCAAGTCTTTTTTCTTTTTCCTTCCTTCCTTTAGTTCTGCTATTCTTCAAATCCAGCCATCCCTGTGAACAGATCAACCCCTTGAAAGCTGGCTACTAGAGTATTAGGGCTCCCCCTTCTGTTTCTGAAGTGCAGCTATCTGGAGGTCTGAATGTCCAGAGGAATTTGGCAGCAAATAGAATGAACCTAAGAATCATCACGTGTTCGAATTCTGATTCTGTAGGTCAAGATGAGATCAATATTCTACCAAACTTCCATACATTTCCAATAGATATAGAAATTAATATATGACTGATGGAGCCTTTATGTCATAACTACTATCTGCTGTGTCTGGATCTGGAATGACCCCCCCAAAACTCACGTGTTGAAGCTTGGTCCCCCATGCAGCAGTGCTCAGAGATGGGTCTTTGGGGAAATAATTTGAGAATAAGGGCTCTCATCTCATCAATGATTTAACTCATTCAAGGCTTTGTAATTTATAGGGGTAAGGGAGGTTCTGGAAACTATGGAAGATGTGGCCTAGTTAGGAAATTAAGTCAGTGGGGGCATGTCCTTGAAGGATATATTTTGTCCCTGGTTCGCTTCGCTCTCTCCCCCCCCCCTCTCTCTCTTCCTCCCTCCCTCTCCCCATCCCTCCTTCCTGGCTGCCATGAAATGAGCAGTTTGCTCTACCATGCACTCCCTGCCATGAAGTTCTACTTCAGTACAGGTTCAGAAACAATGTAGCTATGTGACCATGGACTGAAACCTCTGAAACTGTGAGCCAAAATAAATACTCTCTCCTTTAAAATAATTTTCTAGAGTATTCTGTCACTGTGACAGACAGTAACACACCACCTAAACATGAATTCTGAATTAAGAGAAAATTAATTTTACCTCAGTCAGTAACAGTTTCAATCAGCAAGAATTGCCTGTAAAGAACCAGTTAATCATTATGGTAAACACTAATATCCTAAGCTCAGTGTGACCAATGTATAGGATTTGTATTAGAAATATGTTTATGTGGCTAAGGTCCTTGGGCCACACTTGTCATAGTTTATCAGAAAAGTGGAGAATGTGCAATGATGTCCTGCTTGAGTACAACCTTTATACTAGAAAGAAGCACTCTGTAGACTTTAAACACGTTTACCTTCCATGGAAAATATTTATTTTTTTGCTTATGTTTTCTTCGGCACTCAGGAAAAAACATTGAGTTAATGATGTATTTTTATTAATTAAATATTCTTTGTGAAAAAATGTAAAGTGCTATGTTAAAAAAATACCACCACACAGATGTAGATTTTAGATTCTTAAAACTTTCTAGTTTAAATTGTTTCTCTTATTCAAGCCCTGCCTCAAATTCAATTCATTTACTTTCTTTTTTACTATTATGAAAGCAATGGTAAGATTGTTTTAATGACACATTTGTCTTCTTTTTCCCTTCTTCAACAATCGCCAGCATGTATCCTCAAGCATGTAAGTCTCAGTAATATACCTTATTCAGGCAAGGAACAGCCCCCTTAATTTTTACTTCACTCTCCATTCATTCATTCATTTATTAAAAATAAAATATTGTCAACGATATCTCAATAAAGATGTTAACCTGTGTTCCTTCCAGATGCCAAGAATTATTCTAAATGTGGATATGAGTGAACAGAACCAATGAGTGTACAATCCTGCCTTGACAGAATTTACCTTCTAGAGCAGGCAGAGAGAGATGAGCAACAAATACAACTGCGATTCCTAGTGAAGGTGTTATGGAGTCTTAATCAGGTGGGAGACAACGAGAAGGTGGAGGTTGGGCTTTGCTATTTTGTGTCAGGTGGTCTGGGAAAGACATGTGAGATTATCTATCAGGAGTGAGGGGAGGAGTCATATAATTCTCTGAGGGAATTAAAATAATGAAGGCAGAGGGGAGAATGCCTGAGGTTGGTGTGCACTGGAGGGAGTGAGCACAGCGAGGGCTGAGGTGGACAGACCCTGAGATCAGAGGGCCTGTGGCGTGGAGCTGCCTCCAGAGCATGGGTCCGGTGTGGCTTGCAGCTCACGGAGTTCAGTCTGTGGCTGTGAGGGTGACACAATCTTACTTTCCGAAATCATTTTGTAAGGAGCACTCCAGCTGCTGTGCTGAGTGGGTAGGCAAAAGCCGAGGGTGGAAGCAAAGGCCACCTGGGCGTTATTGCTCAGGTGCAACTGAGGCTGTGGAGAGGGACAGACATCAGACTACAGTTTTGAACCTGGTTTTCTTGTTTTTTTAAGTCTTCCTCCAGCTTTCTAGGAATTTCCTTTCCCCTCTCCATGAAATATTTTGTTGTTGTTATTCTTGGGAGTGTGTGAAATAACAGCCCCTTTAGTTTATAGGCTTTTTAAAGGGAAGGAATCAAGTCACACTTTTTTGCTTGCCTTGAAGTGCCTAACATAAGGGTGAGTGACAAGAGATAAAATGAGACATAATGATATGAAAATTAACTGAGACTCATAATCCTCTGTAGTCAAATGACAATATAGCCCAAGTTTAAGTTTATAAAATAAGGCCTCATTCATAAGGTCTCAAAAAACAACAGCTATCATTATCAATACTAATATTATAGACAGCTAAATTAGGTAGAAATATTATAGGCAGTCAGATAGGGATAGGCCCTAGAGGGAGTCAGGGCAGAGGATGAAAACACATTACAACTGTAGTTGGAGGTGCATCTGTTGAAGGCCAGGCCTCAAGACAAAGACAGAATGACTAGACCTTCATGCCTCCCAAAGGGATAAGTAATTTACTAAATTGGTTTTGTTTTGTTTTTTGGTTTTGGTACCGGGGATTGAACTCAGGACCTTGTGCTTTCGAGGCAGGCGGTGGAACCGCTGAGCTAAATCCCCAGCCCCCAATTTACTAAATTGGTATCACGTAGTCCAATAAAGTCTAGATAGACATCAGTCACCCAGATGGGTGACAAGGACCTCCTGATCCATCCCTTCTCTTCATGTACACTTGTTACATGACCTGCTTCAGCATTGGATCAATATTACCTAAATGACTATACTTATAATCTTATTGGTTGATGCCCACATTGTATCCACCTTATGATTTTGTACTCACCTCATGAGTTTGCTGTATAAAACTTCCTTTGAGAAACAGGCTCTTTGGCAATGCACTTTCAGGTTCCCTCCCATTTCTCGGGAGCTCTCTCTCGCAATAAAATTTTTCTCCTCTTAACCTACGTTGTTCCCTAGAATTCATTCTTTGATTTTGGGGAACACAAACTCAGTGTATCTGACATCTAGCAGGTCGGGAGTTATATTACTTTTCCTATATCAGTACAACTATCAGTATTGTCCACTTGGGCTTCCTTGCTCCTCAGAGATCTAAGTGTAATTGGCTTTTATCAATGTCCATTCTGCAGCCTGTGGAAGACCAGGCTTCCTCCTAGATTTCTGCACCCACCCAGACCCTTGACTTGAGCCATACCCGCTGTTCCTGTGCTCTACTACATTGCCTCAAGTGTAGTGTCGTGAGTTTTTCTAAGAAGCATAGGCATGTCTGACTGCAATTTAGACTTCACTGAAGAATTCATAGGGAGATGAAAGAGGTATTTGTGTCACAAAAATATAAATTTTTTACTAGTCATTGAAAGTATTGACAGTCTTTAAATAATTCCTTATAAATGCGGGGCTCCTTTGGCTCCTAATTTATCTCAGCTTCGTTCTGCCTATCTCTTATCCTTTTTCTCTTTTCCTTACTTTGAAAGGCAAATTAAGAAAATAAGCACTAAGTCTTCCAGGGTATTTCAAAGGGCACTGGAGCTCATTTCTATTGCTTCTCCTCTGAATTCAAAGTCAAAATACTCCTCTACCTTGTTTTTCTTGTGACATGTAAGTTTGAATCTCTTAAACTGCTAATTTCCCTTTAACTAGTTGGGCATAGCTAAGGCCCCAGAGCTCTTTTCATATCCCACAGAGCCTAGCAGTCTACCTTAATCCCAGTTTTCTTGAATAATCTCCTACTGTGATTATTTCAAGAGTTTTGCAGTGGCTTGCTTGCAAAATCCAGTGAAAGTCCTGCTTACACTGAGACTCTTTTTGATCTTCTTTCTTTATTCTTCATTACTCAGTAATTCTTTTTGTGTCTCCCATGTGAGTCCTTTTGTCTCATTATTTTCTCTATTTTCCCAAAAGCATAGGTAAGAAATTGAAAAATATATTAGGGTGTATATTTATGACATACTGTTTTCATTTTTACTCTATTAGAAAGTACTATAACAGGATGTGTTCTGAGTAGGA